TCACGTCATCTGTGATTCTTTCTTGTAAGTCAGTTCACTGTGATATGTGTGTAGAGTTATAGCATCTACTATGGAACACGTAATGAATGTTGTAACAGATCGAATCTGGGTAAAAAAAGATATTTTGAAATTAGTGTCAGAACATATTCAGTTGATTCTATAAATGGAAATTATAACCTACCTCCCTTTCACATACTGGTTTTTTGGGGTTTTTTTTTTTTTTTTTTGAGTTATCTTAAAATTTAGAACATTGTAATGTGCAATATGAATATATACAATTAGGAATACATAAAAGTGATGGAACGTTGTTTAGATAGTTATGAAAAGAAAACTACTTTCTAAATGATTTTGGTCCGTTTTCATACATCCAGATTCCAAATGAGGAATGTGGGCTTTGATTTTGAGTCTTAGCTGTATATGAGGCTTTATTGTATACTTTAGAAAATAAATAAAGATGGGTCGTTGTTTTAGTTTGCTTTTTTTTTAATGTGGCAGTTGCTTGGAACACTAACAAGCAAGTTAAACAAAAGCAACTTCTTTTCCATTTTGATAATCTAGGCTAAATTTGGCCGAAGGTGGACTAAAATTGCAAAGCTAATTGGAAGTCGCACTGTATTACAAGTAAAGAGTTATGCCAGACAATACTTTAAAAATAAGGTAAGGAGAATATAAATATTCTAGTTAATAATGATAACATTTTAAATAATAAAGTTAGTAAGCAAAAATAGTTTTTAATTCAGGCATTAAAGTCTTAATGTTCAAAAATTTTATAGTCGAAGTATTTTATACTCATTAAATATTCTACAGTTTTTTACCTTCAAAAATCTGAAAGCTTATCTTCAGTGTTTTGATTATTCCTGTTAAATTGGTATTATGTTATTCTACTTCATTTCATAGTTAAATAGAACAAAATATTAATTACTCATTTAATATGCAGTTGTAAACATGTTAAAGAAAAGCACAATATATGTACACTATAACAGTAACATGTACTCAGTTTAATAGCATTGTATTTATCCTATTTTTTTTGTGCCAGTGATTAAATTTTAAAATCTTAATATTATGGTGGTTTTATCTTGATTTTTAATAAGGTAAAATTGGATGGTCCAGAGAAGGAAACTGCAAATCAGAAAAATAGCAGTTATATTCAGATTAAAAATGAAGATGAAGGCATAAAGGCATGGACACCATCAAGTTTAAGGGGACGTGCCGATCCCAACTTGAATGCTGTAAAAATTGAAAAGTTATCTGATGATGAAGAAGTAGATATCACAGATGAGGCAGATGAGTTGACTTCTCAAGCACCCCAAGAGAATCCTAGCAGTGATCTCTTATTAGACATTTCAAGTAGTAAAAGTCATGAAACCTGTCAAGGAGAATTTATTGCCTCTGACAGCCAGGAAGATCCCATTTCTAATTCTTCCAGAGAATATCTTCAGAATATAAAGCAAGGTGAAATGGAAACACTTTCAAGCTCAGGGATTACATTTTGGACTGAAAAACAAAACACCAGTGACAAAAAATCAGTTGAATTAACTGATCAGAAATGTAATGAACTGATGAAAAACTATGATAAACATGATGGAAATGGAGTAGTAGGTGATACCAAGCGGTTGCCTTCTCCAGAGCCTTGTGAAGTTCAGAAAGATGTGAGTGATAATGAAATGCTTTTTCATTCTTCCTGCCAAATGGAGGAGGAGAGTCACGAGGAAGAAGAGCTTAAGCCGCCAGAGCAAGAAGTAGAAATAGATAGAAATATTATTCAAGAAGAAGAAAAACAAGCAATTCCTGAATTTTTTGAGGGGCGCCAAGCTAAGACACCAGAACGCTATTTGAAAATTAGGAATTACATTTTGGATCAGTGGTAAGGAAGAATTATATTTTAGATGGTGTTTAAATGATACTATAGAGTATTTTAATTAGGCTTATGCAGAATTTCGTATTTTACATTGCTAATGATCCAGAGAGCTTTAACACAGTTAATATATTTCAATAGGCAAAACTTAAAATTTCTCACAGTGAAACTTGTTTTGTTAAGCTTTAGTAAACATTGTCATCTGTAGCTATCTTAACTCATCTGTCTGTTCATTAAGAGTGTTTGGACCTGAAAAAAAAAAAAAAAAGATAGATGATTGCCTTAAGCAGTTTCTTAAGACAATGTAGGAAGACACAGAAAACACTACTGCCCTGGTAAAAAGAGATAGTGTCTTTCCTAATTTATCATGTACTTTAAAGTGCAAAGGAAGAAAACTGTGGTGACAATAGTGTCATTAAATGGGGCCAGATTGCAGAATCCAGTCTCCTGAATAGCTGCCTTAAATGCTTTCAGCTTTGAACCCGTGGCATAATGTGTTGACAGTTCTTTCATCTAGCTTCATTGGGATACAGGAATTTTCTGATATATGAAGTTTACCCTCTAAATTGTCAGTACTTTTTACTTAAATCATTTAGTGAGGGATGGAGAACAAACCAAAAAAAACTCCGCACATTATTTGTTAAAATGCTTTGAAAATAATTTGAATTTTTTATAATTGTTTAAGACATCATTAAACATTCATAATTGTTATTGCTTGAGGATTGTGTAGGGCCCTCTTTACAGAGGGCTTCTGCTATAACCTAGGAAGATTATCAAGGAAAACAAACAACCAGCTTATTAAATCACTAACCTTCATTTTATGCACACAATATTAAGTACATTGGCTCTTAAAGATAGCCATATTCTAAAAGAAAGATTTTCTTGTTCCTGACTAATGGTTATCTTGAAGATGAATGAGACTGCTAAAAGTCTAAGTTCTGGGTAAGAGTGATATCAAAGTAAAGAATACTTAGAAGAAACAATTCTTGACATTTGCATAGTGCTTTACAGTTTACAGAAAGCATTTCTGTATCATCTCATTCCTCACAACAATCCTATAAAATAGGCAGGTGGTATTTTCTCCATTTGATAGAACAATTCTGAGGTCAGGAGAGGTGTAGGGACCTGCTTTGATTATACAGGCAGCCACTGACAGGAAGGATTTCAGTGCAAGTCTTGACTCTATAAGTCACTTTCACATTGTCTAAGTCTCACTATTAAAAAAGATAGATCTCTCTTGGTATTTAATTTTGATTTGCAAATAAGAAGATGATTGGCCAAAATTGAAGGACTTCAAAATAACTAACTCAAAAATGTCTATATGAATTATCAGTGAATACTTACTGTTATTTTAATCAAATTTCAATTGTTACTTTGAATTTTGGATTCTGAGATATTAATTTATATAGATATTTTAAATTATATAGCAGTAATTTCCTGATGTTACTTACCTTAGTTTATGAAACCAGTTAAATGTTTCTGTTTCAGTAGGTGTGAAAGCAAAAAAATGTTTTGAATAGGAACTCAAATGTTCTTCTCAGAAATAGAAAAGAGAGTGGTTAGAGACTGGGGGTGGTGGTAAAAAAAATAGAAGGAAAAAATGTTTTAAAAATAAAAAGTCTTGCTAGATTTGTTTGTAGCCAAAAGATCCTTTTCATAAAAGCACATGCAGTGGACTCCCTGTTTAGGAGAATGTAATAAAAATAGTAAGCAATACCATTACTGAATGCCTGCCAGATACCATACATTATATTTAAATCACCTCAATCCTCTTGACAACTTGTCCTTATGTTACAGATAAGTAAAAAGGACTTGTTAATAGGTCACATTAGATGAAGGTGATTTCCTGAGTCTGTGGTGTTAACTCATTTTCTCACTTCCAACTCAGAGCCATTTTATTCTACTTTGGATGCTTTCACCTCCAAATCTTGGCGAATCTTGCTTTCTCATCTCATTCAGGTCTGCTCAAGGGAAATTGGAAGCCTTCTCTGACCACCTGATCTACAATAGCTAACATTTCTCCTCCCTCTCATTTCTTACCATTTTTATTTATCTTCATAGAACTTACTACTACTGAAAATGTGATTTTTTTATTTGTGTATTGTCTCCTCCTCCTCACCTCCCCATGATAATGCAGGCTCCATGAGGGCAGATTTTTTTCTGTTTGTTCATTGTTAAATCCCTAACGCTTAGAACAATGCTTGGAATACAGAAGGCACTATTTGTTAGGGGGGAAAGATTGAATGAATGACTCATCATTGTATCATGAATACATGTTTTGAAGGGTCTTACCATTTGTTCAGCACTGTACTAGATTACTAAATTCTGCTTAAAGCCCTTTGACCTGAGTTACCGTTAATTAACATTAATCCGGTTTTTAGACTTCTGCAGTTTTTTTGGTAGTCAGTTATACCATGCTCATTCCTGTTTTCTGGCCGCCTTTCATGCAATCTGTTTCCTTTTCTTTCAAGACACTCTGAAATCTCAGCTTTTCAATGGAACTTTTGATTCCCTCCTACATCACAAAGTACTTTTTACCTTCCCTGAAGTATTATAGAATTTATTTTAAATTTGGTTTCTGCTTAGGCCTTCTCTAAACACCCTATCTAAAATAGTCTGTGCCCGTTTTTCTCATTGTATCCATTTATACTCTTCCTAGCACTTAACTGCTATCTGACAATAAAATAGATTTCATTAATTTATTGACTGTCTCCACCATTAGAATGTAAGGTTAGGAACTTTATTCATCTCTGTATCCTTAGTGCCTAGAATAATGCCTCATGCAAAGAATATGAAATATTTGTAGGATAAAATCAAGACTGAATAGGAAATACCTAAGTTGTATGATTTATCTGAATACTTGGTTTATAATGTCTGTTTGAATCCTGTCCTTTTCTAGTAAAGTAAGTGCTTTAATTTCTCTGACCTTTTTTTGTTTCCTCATCTCTAAAATGAGAATCTTATAGAGGAGTTCTAAGGATTAAGGATGTTAACTCTTGGTACAACATCTGGCATAAGCACTCAGTAATTGTTTGCTACTGTTATTAAGTTCTGTATTACTCTTAAACTTTATATTGTACCATCTAACATGGTACATTAAGTATATTCAGTAAATATGTATTTGATCATACAAACCTCATTTCTTTCATAGTCTTTGGGAGTTTCTTGATTCCTTTGATACAAAGAATAGATATAAAGCTTGTAATATCTGTTTCTGTGTTCCACTGAGAGTAAGCACTTAATATTTATTGGCTTAATGATTAAAAACTAGTATAAAACTTTTAAGCATTTTAAGGTAGTTGATAATTAAAAGATACTGTCCAGCAAAGTAAAAGTAGATGAATTTAAGTAACATTAAAAATTGGAAAAGTCTAATACTAAATACTTCCAATATATTATCAAAGTTCTCTTTTTATTCAAAGATTTAGGCTTGACTTTGGAACTGTATATAAACAAACTTCTAAGTTAAAAGTCCTGGGATAATGGAAGCTATTGAATTTAATATCGGGGAAGAAATAATACTTGTAAAAATCACACTATACTTATAAGTTATTGTATCATTTAAAGATATTTTATTTCAGAAAAAAGTACACTTATGTATCAGCATTGTATTTACTACACATTTACGTATTGAGGGGATAAATTTTTAAGATATTTCAGATATTAAAAGTTTCCCCCGGAAATCTTTTTGCATGTTTTTATCCAAAATAATTGTATTTCCATCTCTTAATTAGGGAGATATGCAAACCGAAATACTTAAATAAGACCTCAGTACGTCCTGGCCTGAAGAACTGTGGGGATGTTAATTGTATTGGACGGATTCATACATACCTCGAGTTGATAGGAGCAATCAATTTTGGATGTGGTAAAAATAAAAACCCAACAACATCTTTTATTCAACATTTTTATCCTTATGGCACCTTTTAATTTCTTTGATGGTTAGAATTCAAGTTGATTTAGGTGTAGATATAGAATTCAGAGAGCTACTATAACATTATGGAATAAAAGTATTGAGATTTTGCTATAAAACAGATTTTTGTTGATTAAATTATATTTCCCTTTGACCTATGTGAAAATTAGCGGTGTAATTTTAAAGAAAATATATTCAGTCTAAGTGGTAGAAATAATTTAAGAATGCAGTTCTTTGTCAAAAGTAAAATTATTTTATGAAAAGTCTAATAGCTCATTTAATTTGCAAATACTGTATTCATGCTAGAAACACTGTCTAGCAATGTTTAAATAAAGGGAATAATTTATGAGCCTCTATACTTAAATGTAATAAAAGTGCCAAAATATTTTTCATGAAAGAAAGTTTTCTTATCCTAGTTTTTTCTATTGTAAGAGTTGATAAATATGCATATTTTAAGTATATTATACCCTTTTATTAACATGACACAAACTTTTTGAAAAAAAGTAATAACCGTAGTTGCAAAGTGATAAAGTAATTAGAACCTGTGTCTATGAAAAGACAACTAACCAGAAAACTTCCTGTCAGAGATGGTTTTATTTTATATAGATAGAATTTACAGTCTGCCATGGGGTCTCTCCATTTTAATGTCTTTATTAAAAGCAATGTACATTGGGACTGGCTTTCAGGAAAACTAAGGTGTCATATGACGCTTCCTTAGCCACTAAAAGAAAAACAAAATCATGTTTTCTGTATTAGACTTCCGGAGTTGCAAAGTGAACTTAGCACTTATTTAATCAGAAATTAAACAGATTACCCATTTCCTAAGTATCACATTTTATTGAGGTTTCCTTATAATAATAGCATTACTTTTATGTGAGAGAACTAAGTGGCACATAAAATGTGTGATTGTTGAATAAGATAAAATTATAGAAGCTCGGGTATAAAGAAATTTAGAAATTGGCTTAGCTTGTATAGTCAGTGCAGATGTGTCTTCCTATTTAACAAATGAGTTTCATAAAAAAATAGATTGTTTTGTTTTTTCTGAATTCCAATAGAACAGGCTGTATATAACAGGCCACAACCAGTTGATAAGGTACGAATCAGAGACAGAAAAGATACAGCAGAAGCATACCAACTTGCCCAGCGTTTGCAGTCCATGGTAAGCAGTCACCTTCCTCACTAAATGATTTCTCTAAATTGCCTCTTACCCTATTAAGTAAGGTATGCCTGCTTCTCAACTATTTAACAAATGGCCATTTAATGGAAGAATATGTTAGCTGTTGTATTTCACCTTAGCCATTCACTTTTCTGGTTTCCATTCAATTTCATGTAGGTTTATTTACTGTGCACAAACCAAATAAACCTCAGAATTTACTGGCAAACTTTACACAAAAGCGTAATATTTTGCTAAGATGGTCTTAGACAGCTTAGTTTTGATTTCTAAACCTAACATTTTTAAAAACTATACAGTTAAGCTCTTTCAGTTATTTTTGTTTGAAATTCTTACTATAAGATTCAACTTTTTGGAATAGCTATATAAAGTATGTTAGCCTTTATCTTTTTAATTCTTGATATTAGTGAGTTTTACAATATTTAAAAATTCATGAATCTTATTTAAAAAATAAGTGATCCAACAAGTGTCCTAAAAGGCAAAGTCGTATCGTGAACCAATAAGATAGATTAAATTGGTAACAGGTAAGAAAGTATAGATGCTAGAGCAGATATCTTTCTCAGAATATTTAGACTGAGAGTATTTAAACTCTTTCTACCTAGATTTACTTTAAGAAAGGATGTTTCCAAATACAATTTTTGGGATTGGTACTAGTTGGACAACAGCCTCTGGCAGCTAGTTTATTTTAAAGGCTTCGGTATTGAAGTTTGCAAACTTAGATGTTAGTAATCCAGTCATCCAACCTTGCAATTTTTTACTATTTGTATTAACTAAGCAATCTTTTTCTAAGGCTGAGATGTAATTATTGTGCTTCTGGTTTTCAATATTTTACCTCTTGCTGCGTGTTCTTGCAAGTTTTCTACCATAAGTAATTGAACAAGAAGTCATTTTGTTGGTGGTTCTTTTTGGTTTTAAAAGTATTTTTTATCTGAGTGTTTTAACTCCCAGAAAATTAAAGAAGAAATCCAAGTAGAATACAGAAGATAATCACTGATTAGTGAGCAGAGTACTAACTATTGAACATAAATTAATAAAGTAAAATTGCTGATCAGAGATTATAATATTTTAATGGAGAAGTTATTTTTTAGAAAGTTATCATTTTGATTTTGCATATTCATATGCTGCGATTTTCTAAGTTAATCTTATTACCTTTTGCTTTATTTTAATTTCATCACAGCGCACAAGGAGACGTAGGGTCCGAGACCCATGGGGAAATTGGTGTGATGCAAAAGACTTAGAAGGACAAACGTTTGAGGTAACTTTGACCTTTTCAAATGGCTTATTAGTGAAAGTTATTTTGTCAGTATATATTTGTATAACTAAAAGTCACATATATTACACTTTTTTACTATGTGTACATTATCTTAATTTGTCTAGAAGTCACTAATAAACAACAAAATAGAAGGCATTGGGGGTGCAGTTAACTAGGAATTTGACTCATTTTTTGCACTTTGATTATCTATTTCTACATTCCACTTTCTAGCTCAAGAATATCTCTCTCCCAGGGTGATGGGAAGAGAAGTTGGTATGCACAATTGATTTCAGTAAATATTTACTGAATGATGTTCTGATATATCAATTAAAATATTGTCCTAAACATTAGACATAGCTTGAATTATAAATAATAAAGTATTATTTCTACTAATAAAAACTATGTCCTACAAAGAAAATAGGCAATAAATGTATGTATACACCCATACACGTTCTATTATATATATAATTGGTTTGTGAACAACCAGCGCAGTAGAATGGAGAGTATGAGAGTGTGGATAACATTTCCCTCAAAGGAATTGTTATGAGAATTAAGTGAAATAAATGAAACAAGATGTGTGAAGCTCATAGTACTAGGTACTCAATAAACCTTGCATGTACCAGGTACTCCATAAATGTTGGTTCTCTTCTTTCTCTTTTCCCCATTCTCTGCTCCCAACCTCACACCTGAGCACTGTTCTGGGCACAACAATTCATATTATGTGGTTTCTGCCTAGAAGGAACTTAGATTTCTAGCAAGAAAGATATAACCTGTGGTAAATTCTATAACATTGGTCCCAAGAAATACAAAGTCCTCCCAGAGGATGTGATCAAGGAAGGTTTCACAAAAGATGTGCTGTTTCATCTGTGACGTGAAGGACGAACAGGGGAAACTTTCAAAATTTAGAAAAGTAGATGAGGGCATTCTAGGTTGAGGGAGTGGCATAGGCAAAGATATAGACATGGGGAAATACTAGACATTTTCTAGAAAAAAGTACATAGTTCATTTGGGCTAGCGTGTAAGGTTGGTAGTAGAAATGGAATGAAAAAGATTTATGTTTACATAGAACTTACTATGTATCAACCACTATTGTCACTATCGTCAGTATTTTACAAACATTAATTCATTTAATAATTTTCACAGTAACGCATTGAAATTGTTATTATTACTATTATTGTTCCCATTTAAAATGAGGAAACTAAACCATGGAAAACTTTAGTACCTTGCCTAGAGTCACCCAGCTCTAATGAGTAGCAGAGCCAGGCATTTTACCTCCAGAATCTGTGCTCTTTATCATTATGCTGCGATGTCTCTCAGTTGTGAAAGAAAACTCAATATAGTAGGACTTGGTGACTAAAAATGAAAAATAGGAAAGAGAAAAGATTCAAGTGGTCCTGGGGTTTTTGATCTTGGGTACCATTAATTGAAATGAGTAAGTCAAGAGAAGGAGTAAATTTTAAGTTTGGTATGGCTGTGTATTTTGGAACAATTTTTTAACATTTAGCATTTCTCTTTGTTAGTAGCAAGAAGGAGACACATCTATATAAACTTGTCTTGTTCTCACGTGCCCTTAAATATGGTTTTAAAGGAGTATTTTTATTCTACTTGTCTGTGGTTGATGGACTCTTTGATCAACTGGTGTTTTATGTTTTAGCATCTCTCTGCTGAGGAGTTGGCAAGAAGAAGAGTAGAGGAAAAATGCAAACTTCTTAAATCTTCAAAAGTGCAAAGACCCATAAAAAGGTATGTTATATATATGATTAGAAAATGTATGAAAAAAGTATTGTTCTTAGTAGTCACCTCTTCACTTGCTAAAGGCTTACTAATCAGCTGTTTGAAAATCTTTTCTAGAATTTTTTCAATATTCAATTTCTGATTCATTTCTAACATCGGCTATTTTTATGTGTTTTGAAACACGCCCAATAACTGCCTATTCCTAGGTTTCAAAAATTTTCCCATTCTCTGCAGCTCTTCAGAAAACATTGACAGTGCTTTCATATCATGGTTCTTCAGTGCTTAGGGATGCATATGCTCTCTTGCTATTTTCTATCTAGCTTGGCCTTTCATTTCTTTTTATTTGCATTGATTAAGCACTTTCTAGTTTAAATGTCTGTCTTCTCTATTCAATAAATGTTTTTTTTGAATGCCTGCTATATGTCAGGCACTATTCTAGGCTCTTGGAATACAGTATTCAGCAAAACCAATTGTTCTGGAACTAACAGTCTCAGGTAGAATAGAAATCCTGCTTTTTTTCAGTTGTGTTAACATGAACATTTTTCTTGTTTGTTTCTTTTTTTTTCTTTCTCTAAACATAGCCTAAAAAACCTTTTTATTATTCTTATTCTTTCTCTTAAACCTCAATTCTTTACTGGTCAAAAAGCCTTTCTAACATTTCTCTTAGATTTACACAAGCTTTTGTTTCTAGCCTTGCTTAGGTGCCCCTCTCCCTATCTTTTTTTTTAACAGTTTCACTTTAAAATAGTTTATCATAGTATACATTAATTTCCTTAGCATAACTGTCATTTATTCATTCACCAAATATTTATTGAGTCCGTACTGTATGCTGACCCCATTATTGTACTGACAGAAATGTTTTTGAGAAACTTCTTTTTTTCTTGAACTTTCAGGTCTCATGTCAGGAAATTGGTTAAATCTTCATTGAACGTTTTGAAATCTGCTTTCAGTGCAGGCCACATATCTGACTATTTACAATGTTCTCCTCATTGGGTATTAAAAGAAATTAAGACAACAGAATTATTTTTTCCCAAAGGTCCTATCATTTCTTTTTTTTTTTTTCTTAACAAATCCAAAAGAACAGTGCTGCTTTCAAAAGAGTTGTATAAAATGTTCTAAGAAATTCCCATTTAATATTTTTCTCTCTCAGATAGAATTTCAGTTTAGATTATTGATACACACTTTCAACTTTGAATAAATGTTATTTTCCTAATCTTGTTGTTGAGATTATAGTAGAAATATTTATTTTTCTTTTCAGCTCCTTCGATCCCTTCCAACTGATACCTTGTAATTCTTTCAGTGAAGAAAAGCAGGTACTACTTATGCATCACTGAATGCCAATAAATAATACCTCCCTGTCAAGCATTAAATATTTTTTTCTATGTATGCAAGGCATATGTATGTGAAATATCGGGTGAGATAGGGTATATTAAAGGTCAGATGAGTAATACAGATGGAAAATGAGAGGGAATTTCTTTATGCTTGGGTTTTAAATGGTAATTTTTTTAAGTCCTGTTCTCACTGAGCCTTGATTGGTGGTGAGACTTTGGTATGATTAGTAAAAGATAAAAGGGAGGACATTCCAGTTAGGGAGAACAAAATCTCTATTTTTATGCTCCTCCATTTTTTTTTTTATATTTCAGGAGCCATTTCAGGTGAAAGTGGCTTCAGAAGCACTTTTAATAATGGATTTGGTAAGGATAATCTATTGTGTTTACTTAGTTATTCTGATTTGTATTCTTGTTGTATTTTTATTGCAGGCATAAGAGTATGGAAGACCTGTATTTTGGATCTTAACTATCCTCTTTTACAAGGACTCTAAAAATAAGTCTTTTCTTTTGGAGAAAAGCCAAACAATTGCATGTTTCCATATTTTAGAGAAAATAAATTAATGTGAGTTTTTGCAGACTGTTTATCATCATTAACCCTATTTTCATTTCCTAGTATTCTTTGTCTGCTAGATAACTGCAACAAAACAGAACTCTTATAATTTGGAGTTTCCTTGTTTGGATTAAACTACCGAGACCTCAGATAGTTGTGTATTTGTTTATGGTCTTTTCCTATAGGAGGACCCAGAGTGATTTTTACTTCATATCCTTCTATCTTTCCTGAATAAAGAGAGCAAATGGTATTTTTTATTTCGTAAGTGAAAAAGTGGCCTCAGCCAGCCATGAAGATAGATCTGAAATCTTAAATCTCTGTGTACTGAACATCTGTGCATCTAGTTCTTCTCTTATGCTAGTTTATATTAGAAAAAGCACAGTTACCATACTTGTAAATGACTCTCCTATGATAAGTGGGTTGTATTCTGATGTTTTTTTGTCAGGTGATTGGTTTGTATGGGCTAAATCTATCTTGTTTGTCTTTCAGCATGCTCATGTTTCTATGGCAGAAGTGATTGGTCTATTAGGAGGAAGATACTCTGAAGCTGATAAGATAGTTGAAGTAAGTTCTCTATTGTAAAATTTTTAAATGTGTCTTTTCCTGCTGCCATACCAAATATTTTTATAGATTTCAGTGGATGTAATTAAAATACAGACTTTACCTATGATATGAATGAGAATATGCAAATGTAGAAAGTTATATATTCCCAAAAGTGACTTAACATTCCATATATTGAGCAGCTGTTTCCTTTCACCATGGAGAAAGAGAAAACAATGTCAAGCCTTGGTTTCTTTTGCCTTCACCAGTAAAAAGCTACAACTACTATGAGGCCAGGAAACGTGCTAACCTTATAGTTGAAACTTGGTATGCCTGATTCTGTTAAAATTATTATCATAAATAATAGGGGTCATTGAAAGAATATGTTTGTACAGGTATTATGTAGGCTAACCTGGAAAATAACAGTTATGATGACCTTGTTTACGTAGAAAAGCACATTCTGAATTCGTAGCATACAATCACACTTTTGAAGTATAAGTCATTTGTATGTTAAAGCCTGCCTAGGATACAGTCAAATAAAAGAAGTTTCTGTATCTATGTATGAAAGAACTAAAACATTAAAGTAATAGAATTAACAGAATTTCCGTGTAATCATATAAGGATTATTCCTTTTTAGATCTGTGCAGCAGAACCATGTAACAGCCTGAGTACAGGACTACAGTGTGAGATGGATCCTGTCTCACAAACACAGGCCTCAGAAACGTTGGCTGTAAGAGGCTATAGTGTTATTGGATGGTATCATTCTCATCCTGCCTTTGATCCTAATCCTTCCCTACGAGATATTGACACTCAAGCCAAATACCAGGTGTGTTCATAAGTCTTAAACATTTGGAAAATCAGCTGCTTTGTTTAATACAGACAAACCATCAAAGTAACAGTGATAATTACTCTCAGAGCCTTTAAAAATTGATGGGAACAATTAGGACAGGGGCTGGGAATAATTGAAATAATCAAACAATATATATTTTGCATCTCTGGGAAAAACAAAGTTTTGTTTTATTTTGCAGTTTTATGTTTGATGTGTTAATGTTTTTGTATAGGCAGCTATTTGTAAATTATTACCATATTGATAAAGATTATCAATGATGGGTAGCGAACTGATTAGTAAATACATTCTTAGCAAATAATAGATTTTGTAGGCCAGGTGACTTTTTTAAGGTTGGGTTGAATGCATGTTGGCCTGAAAAATTTAGCATACAGAATGAATATATAAGGCATTTTATTTAGTTGCTTATTTGGATGTTAAGATTTTAACACACCTTTATGTTCCCTTTTCCTCCGTTAGTTGTGTAAAATATTGGTGTGTATAGATACTGACTTTTAAATTTATGTACTTGAAACTAATTTTACTTTACTTTTTATTGTAGAGTTACTTCTCCAGAGGTGGTGCAAAGTTCATTGGAATGATTGTTAGTCCCTATAATCGAAACAATCCTTTACCTTATTCCCAAATTACCTGCCTGATTATAAGTGACGAAATTAGCCCAGATGGCTCTTATCGTAAGTTGTCAACAAAAACAATTTTATCCTATTTCTGTCTTTTAATCTTACAAATCAAAGACTTTACATCTAAGCAAAACTATTTGAATGGAAAATTTGTGCCCTCAACTGGAGGATTACTATTTGCATACCACGTAGTACAGCTACCTTCTTCCCTTTTAAGATATCCTTCTAGATTCAAGTCCCCACTGTGTTACCATGACCACTGAGCAAAATGATTGTGACATGGAGAAAAGTTATGGCCAAGCAATGTGTGTTAGGTACTGGAGACACTGCAGTAAGCAAAATAAATGCAGACTGGTTTTCTCTGTGATGGCATACAAATGAAAAAAAAAAGAGAGAAAAGAAAAAATGACCACCGACTACCAGCTTTCCATTACCTCTCGGTTTAGGCTTAATAATGCCGAACTCCGTATATCCCTTAGTTTCCATTTTATTTCAAGAAAGAATTTGGTTGGTTTAGCCCATCACATGAGTTGGTTCCTTTGGGATTTATGTCTATTGCAGTCTAATCAACTATTGACTGAGAATTCATGTAGCATACTAGAGGACAGAAGTGTGAATGGAAAGGAAGCGATTGGAAGAAACAGTTGACATCCCTAGGATATTTATTCTTCATTCTTACTACCACTACTCTAGTTTTCTGTCCTCTCTGGAAACTGTCACTGCACATTGTACTCTTCCCTATTAGCTCATGAGCTCCTTGAAGGTTGACATTATATTATACTCATTTTTCTATCCTTAGTTTCTAGCACAAAGCCTGGCATAAAGTAGATAGTAAGTGAATGTTTGTTTATTAATTTCTCTTCATTCTTAATGATGCTTTCCCATCACTACCTCTATGTCATTTACTTTAGTTGCTCTGGTTGCTCAGTTCTTTATGCATCTGCTACATTTGTTTCCTGTCTTCATGGTCACTTTGTCTTGGTAAATGATAATTTATCTATTTAGCATGTCTCACTAAACTGTGAGCCCCAAAGGGCTTTGTCTTTGTATCTCTAGTAGCACTTAATCATTTTCCCTGCACCTAGGAAATGGTCCATGCTCTGTAAGTTTTTATTGAATGAATAGTATTGATACTAACTTTATTCCAGAATGCCCATAGCACACATGTACATTATTCTTTAGCCAGTATAATTTTACAGAGTTGCAAAAGGAGGAGTCACAATTAGCTTGTTCTCAATTTAAAGAATTTCTTAATTTCATAATCTGCTAGATTTTGATAGTGAACCTCTACTCTGATGCTGTTCAATACAGTAGCTACTAGCCGCATATGATTATTTAAATTAATTAGAATTAAATGAAATTTAAAAATCAATTTCTAGAATTTCACTTCTAGCCAAAATGAAGTAACAAGGACTTGTCTGAAACAACCAAAAACTGGACAAAATAATGAGCCCCCAAATTATCTTAGCTTATTAACTTAAAAGAATTGCCAGGCATAGCACAAGGAGAAGAAACCTACCCAGAACCAAGCAAACTGAGTTGAGGTGATAAGAGGTAAGACCGAGGAAACCAATGCAGCTAAATTTTACAGGACAGAGGACCACAGAGCAAAAAGCCATGTAGAGAATACTCTGGAGATTTGTAGAAGGTACAAATTTAGTATTTATCAAGATATAGACCAGTGCAAGTGTGCAAAGAAACTACACTAGACAGGGGAAAGAATTACTTGAAAGGATTAAAGGAAACTCTACCAGTATTCACATAAGCTACCATTGGACAGGAACAGGTGTCAGCATTAATCAGTGTGGAAAGTTCTGTTGGGCAGAGCTGCCTCTTAATGGTCAATGACTTGACCATTTTTAACAAACACTGCTTGTTACATTTTATGTTTTTCACTACTCCTCTTGGAAACCCTCTGGTTCAAGAATTAAGATTTTCTAGAAGCCAAGGGATACCGTGTATATTATAGTACTTTTAACTTGAGTCCTTCCTTCCTTCCCGCCCTCCCTTCCTCCCTCCCTCCTTCCCTTTTTCCCTTGTTTCCCTCTCTCTGTGTCTCTGTCTCTCTCTGTCTCTCTTAAGTGTATTCTCAAATCCTATCCTTAAAATGTCTCTAATAATTAAGCATTTTCTATACTGGTAATAGCCAGGAAATTACATAGTGATTAGGTTTCTTCTGATATTTTAGTAACTAAAAATATTCAGCGCAAAAGGAAATTTTTAGTGGTTTTAGTGCCATTTTTTAACTTGGAAAATATAATTAATACTAAATAGAGCTGTATATCTCACACACACTGTGTGTGTGTGTGTGTGTTTGTATTCCCATGGTTTTCCATCGACACAAACTGAAAATGCATTTATTTGCCTCTCTTTATTCTCATTTTGACTTTCAGAGTAGGAGTTTCTCACTTGGATTCATATCTCAGCTCTGGTGTTTATTGATTATTTTACCTCAGGTGGATTAGTTTACCTCTTTCACATTCTTCTTTGCCACATCTGTAAAATGAGAAAAAATTACTTTGTTTACAGGGAGTTGTAAAGATTGTCGATAATGTGTATAAAGTGCTTAGCAAATAATAAGATCTTCAGTAGTTGTGATTATAGCTGTTGTCTGTGCTTACTAGATAATCAAAGTATATCAAGTAAATGATTATCACCAAAAGGAGTTTGCTTAATAGCTATAATGTGTCGCTCTTCTTAAGTTTTTTAGGGGAGAAATGAAATGGAGGAGAATTGAGAAATAAAAATAATCAATTATAATCAGGCTTGCTGTTCCCTCCTTCCACAAACCTGAAAGAGGTGGGCTGGAAAGGCTTTTTAGAGCATATTGACAAGCTCTGTTTTATTGGAAGGAAGTATAGTCATATTTTTTTTAATGCTTTCTGATTTGATATGCTGACATTTTATGTACTTGAAAGCCTTATGATGGCTTAAACCCAATTAAGAGGTAATATAATGGAAAGGTTAAGATTATAAACTCAACACAGACTAGACTACCTGGGTTCAAATCCTGGCTCTACATCTTACTAGTTATATATGCCCATGAACAGGTTATTTAACCTCTCTGTGGCTCAATGTCCTCATAAAAAAAAATAAATAAAAAGGACAATGTGGTAGATAGTTCATTTAAGTGGCCTTATCTATAAAGTGCTTTAAGTTTGGCACATAGTAAGCATTATATAAGTGTTATTATGGTATTGGCCTTTGGTAATGAATCAGCTGAGCTCTTTTAATACACCGCAAATACGTACCATTACACGAGGACTTTGAGAGATATGTGAGAAATATCTAAGTAGTCTCATCCTTTGGTATTTTTTTCCTTTCTAGCTGTGTACATGATGTCCACCCTGAGGCTGCTTTCTAGAGTTTAGCATGACAGCTTTGACTCAAGTACGGAATTATTCTTATTCCCTGTCTAGTCTTAGATTAGCACCTATCAGGAAGGTGGAATGAGTGTGGGCTCAGAGTCAGGCAGGCCTGCTAGGATTTAAAATTCAACCTCTTTCTCTTTACTAGTTTCAACAGGTTGTCTTAATCTCAGTTTTCTTATCTGTTAAATAGGAGTAATACTACCTACTTACTTTATAGGATTGTTATAAGCTTAATAACCTGTGTTTTAAAAAAAAAGTCACTGGAATAGAATATGTCTTGGTTTGTTTAGGTCAGTCTCAGTTTAAGCCCGTGGTTCTGATATAGTTATTAATAGTGCCCTCTTTTACTCAAAAAGTATTTTGGTTTGGATAATAAATTATGTGATCATTTTACGTCAGTTTCTTGAATAGAATTGTCATGCAAAGGGCACTTTTACTTTTCTTTATTATTGTTAATTGCTTGGCATTAATATCTGGTGGACCAAGTAGGCAATAAATGTTTAATGAATGCCCACTGTAAAGTTTAGGCAATAAATGTTTAATGAATGCCCACTGTAAAGTTTTGTTCAGCTGGTCTGCCAAATTTATGATTGTGAAAACAGTGAAGGGAATTTTAAGTAATTGAAAGGAGATTGGAGATTTAAGAAATAGTTGATGAATATGTGCTGCTTTATACTTTTTTAGGTTTACCTTACAAATTTGAAGTACAACAGATGTTAGAAGAACCTCGGTGGGGATTAGTATTTGAAAAGACAAGATGGATGATAGAAAAATACAGGCTATCCCATAGGTATGTGCAGTGGTTTGAGATGGTTTCACATCTGCAATATTTCTCATTAAATTATGTTTTAGAGAAAACCCAAGTTAAATATAAAATTGTGATATATGGCATCAGTGATAGTTTAATTACAGAATTGATTAATTTATAATATTTGTCTTATCAGTTTGTTTTCCTGTTTCTTCTAACAGCAGCGTCCCCATGGATAAAATCTTTCGCCGGGATTCTGACCTGACTTATTTGCAGAAAGTAAGCTGCCTTCATTTTAATTGGTTCTGTTGTTCACAGATTCTCAAGCTATTCATCTTGATGTGTTTTCTCATGATGCCTAATGTTTTATGGATACATTTTCTGTATATTTCCTTTATTGCTTTTTTTCTTATTAAAATTAATTTCTAGGAGATAATTAGTAATGTGTTTTGTTGCCCACACTTGCATATAGAAATAATAATATTTTAGATTAAATTTGTCAGTGTTAGCTGATAAATTTCTTAGCAGATTATTATTATACACAATAGAGACCATTTTTCTCATTTTATTAAATTCAAAAGCGTTGTATTTCCATTTAGCTGTAACAATTGATCATTTGTAAAGAATGGTAGTATAAATCTAACAATTAAATTTAAATGGTCATCTTACTTAACTTTCTGGTATGCAGTAAGTCTTGAATTCTTTTATTTCACATCTAGCGTTGTTTATGAGTATAGCGAATTAAGATCAGTAGACTGGCAACATTTGTCTTTTTTTATAGCAATTTAGAAATAGAAAACTTAAACATATTATTTCTTTTTAATATTTTATATCCCCTCCTGTTGTAGCCACTTTATCTTTGTTTTGTTGGAAGGTTAATATGCACATTTCCCAGGAAATATTCTAGCATTCTAATTTTGAAATGGTAGAGTCCTGTGTTTGGGCATAGATTTTTTTTTTTATCCTACGGGATTATTTTTGCTTCGTAAATGTAACTTAGAAACAAAAAAAAAAAAAACAAAGTCAAAATTTATCTAAAGTAGAAAGCATCACACCTGCACATCCAGTCTCAGGTTCGTTTCCTTACGTAAATCATAAAGGAACTAACCTACGCAGTCTTCAGCAATGGCACCCTGCACTCCAGCTGCATGATTACTGCACATCAGTTTATCTTCACCACATTTAAGGAGAGTGTTTCTCATTTGATCATTAGAAAATGTATGATTTGGAAAATGTGAGCTTTATCATTAACTAAAGATAGTAATGAAAACTCTCTATTTACACTTTTTGTGTGTTTAAATGTGAAACTTTTTTTTTCTCCCAGCTTTTGGAATGTCTGAGGAAAACTCTGAGCAAAGTGACAAATTGTTTCATTGCTGAAGAATTCCTGACTCAAATAGAAAATTTGTTCCTTTCAAATTATAAAAGCAAGGAAGAGAATGGAGTGGCTAAAGAGAACTGTACTGTGGGTCCAAAGGAATTGTTAATGTAATTATTTTAAAGTAAGACATTTTACTCTTGACACACGAGATCCTTTCAGTTACAACCTTGAAAATATTGTAATTTAATTAGCAGTGGCACAGATTTTGATATTTTTTTTTCTCTAGTTCATATAATCCAAACTTTGCCGCCTACATCATGTGATGAAAAAGAGAGATGGACTTGTTTTCATGAAGCGTTTGTAGAGAGGTGTGTACACTAGGGCCAGCCTCAGTGCTCCCGTCCTACCATGGCTGGTAAGCAGTGCCGTAGGCTTGAAGGGCTGTCTGCGTTTCTGTTGTATTCAGGTTAATACGTGGAATGTCTCTCTAATTTTTATTTCTCCCCAACCTAGCCATTCTGTTTTTGGTATCTCATGTCTCATTAGGAGCACTTCCATACTTTCCATGTGTTTTGGTAAGATTTGTTTATGATTGTAAATGAGCTCTGGATGGGTAGTCACTGAGATAATTAACATGGTTGAGCACCACTCATTTAATAACTCTAACAGCATGCTATGGGAAGTCAGGGGAAGCATAAGGAGAAAATCTTAAAACTAGAGAAGAGACTCAAAAAGACAGAATCAAATTACCAATTTTATAATTACAGATATTTGCTTCCATTTTTATTTTTAACAACAATGCTATAGAATATGTCATTTTCTCAGTTATCTGAGATATTATATGTAGATTCCAGGTACATACAATAATTAGTTTCACTGTATATCCACTTAATTAGTGTGTGTGTGATAAAACCTCATTTAACTGGAACACAGATAATCCTAACCCTCCAACTAGATTTTTTTTTCCTACTACTTGCTATCAGAAGAAAGAGGCAAATTACAGTAAAGTTTAAATAAATCAGAGATTAATTTTAAAAACAAAAAGGCCTTCCAGGACGTATTTCATATGTAGCTCAGTTTCATATACTTTCTGAATCTAAAACAGAGGTCAGCAAACTTTTTATGTAAAGGGGCAGTTAGTCAATAACTTAGGCCTTGCAGGCCACATTCTATCTCTCTCCAACATTATTCTTCATATTTTTTTACAACCCTTAAAAAATTTAAAAGCATTCCTAGCTCATAAGCCTCACAAAAAAACAAACAAAACAAACACTTTGCTGGCCGTTATCTTCCAACCCTTGCTCTAGAGAATTGCAAACATATAGAATTTATTTTCAGATGCATGAGCCTGAGACACTGAAAGGTCTTCTATCATTTTCAGACAACACTCAAAACAGTGATTTATATTCAGGTACTATGAGGAACTCAAAGATGGCAGTCCTCAGTTTAGAGCTTTGAGAGCACAATTTTAAAAATTATATTACTGTGTTTTTTTCTAATGATAGAGGACATTTATTTTATAAAATATTTTTAAAATAACAAACATAAATAAAATATCTCAATCTTGTTGTCTGTGAAACCACAGTTAACATTTTAGTATTAGTCCTTTACCTTTTTTTTTTTTTTGGATCATGTAGTTTTAAAACATCAAAAGCTGTGATATTTTTCTCTCTTCCTCCCTACTTCCTTTTTTCTCTTATCATATAGTCTTAGAATGTTTTTTCAACTGCAGAGACATACCCACATTCTTCTTACTGCCAACATTGGACTACCGAGGGTGGTTGAAGCCAGGGCCCAGGACGAGCACAGAGGACTTCTGGAACTGGGTGGCGGTGGAGTCAGTAGGGCCATTTGGGGGGCAGCGTCTCATAGGGGAGCCTACCTCTGGCAATGTTGACAGGAGTGGAGCCAGGACTTGGAGACATCCAAGTCTCTTCAGCTGGATTCAGTTCTTTTTATTGCAGTGAGAATAAAGTAAAAACTTAATTTTTTTTTCCAGCTTGGCTAGAAGAAATTGACACTAGTACTTTGCCAGTGTTAAACTTAGCTCTCTTTAAAAATCTAATCCCAAAGCAACATTGAAAAAAAAAAGAAAAATCAGTGGAACAAGATCAGTAAGATCAGTTTCCTTTCCCCTCCATTATTCTAGCCTTGTCTCACTGGCCCTATATTCAAAGCTGCATTATAACTTTCATGGGCCTTAGACACTTTTGCCTTCTTGGACCTCTTCTTCCATAAAAAATTAAAAACTAAAATATTACAATTGTATTTGTATAAAAATGAATGTAATATTATATATAAACATGTCCGTCATTCTAAAAGTTTTTTCTTCTGAATTGAAAAGAAATTAAAACATTTTCATAGGCCTTTCAGAATATTGTAGGCCTGAGGCATGTTGCCTAATAGATAAGTTGCCCCTGAAGGATGTCATTAGAAAAATGGCAGTCACTGTCCCTCCCCTGTAAAACTCACCTCACAAACCCTGGGGTAGCTTTGCCAAGAACATTGCAATTCCCGCAGCTTTAGATCTCTGAACTTGAACTTCATTCTTAAAACTCAGGAGTATTGCTGGGCATTATTCTCCTCAAAAAAAAAAAAAAAAAAAAAGGGGGTGAGTTTTGTTTTTCAGTTAGGTATTTTCTTTT